TCTGTGGTGGCTTGAGGTCCGTCGTGCGGAAATCTCCGTGATCTTGAGCTAAGGCTAATGTTTCGCGTGGACGAGGCTCTTGTGGCGCTTCGAACCGTTGAAAGTCAACCATCGCATCATGAGAAATACTTGATATCGTAGAGTTAGTTTGAGCCTCTTGCCGTGGTATCATCTTTGCACTTCTTCAAACAAGCTTGAGGTCGGCCATTCATGGAAAGCGTCAGTATTGTTACCCTGTTCAACTCAGCCCCAAGAATGAAGCCATGTACCTCAGGCCCCATTTGAAATCCTGTCGGAGGAAATAAAATCAAAAGAATATCTTCTCTCCTCATCCATAATCACATTATCGTCCGTCGCACCACAGTAGCATGACTCACCCTCACCCGAGGTTATTCTTAGAGACGCCACTAGTAAGCTGATAACAGGGATCCATCCACAGTCCATCCATTTGCCTATCCTCTTCCCCGCCCCAAGCGTATCAAGTCACTTGACATGCCCCCCCTCCTCCACCAATTTCTGCTACGTTGCAGATCATGTTTCCTTTGTTGCTGCGATGCTACCCAATCACTTCGGTATCGTATATGCTTGTAAGACCTCAGCACCTTCCTTCGCGCCAAGATCGACGAGATGCTCATTGCTCCTCCCTCGTATTTTGGGGTCTGAGTCTGTAGGCCAGTAGTTAAATAGTAATACCTGAAGTCTGTAATATTGATTACAATCTTCTCCATCTCGTATCTTACGTCCACAGCCTCAAAATGTATTCCTTTGTCTTCCTAGCTCTCATCAGCCTCGCTGCAGCTCACGTTCCTTCTGTCAGCGTTCCATCGTGTCCTAGATCAAACAGGATCGCATTCTCAAAGTCCGTACCCGATCAGGATCCCTTTCCCCGTACGCAAATCGACCTCTGCTACACCTCAACTGCCCTCTCCTTGACCTTCACGGCCCTTGACGAAAAGAGCTTCTATTTCAACTCTTCGCAGGGTACGAACGACGACATATGGGCGTACGAAGTCGTCGAGGCATTTATCTACAAGGGAACTAAGGATCCGCAAACATATCTCGAGTATGAAATCAATCCCAACAACGTGACATACCAAGCTTTCGTCTACAACCCAACCAAAGACCGCGAGGAGGGAGCCCCATTCGATCATTTCTTCATCGCGGATCCAGAGGCTGATGGTTTTGAGGCGGAGACGAAATTGAATAGAAGAGCGGGAACATGGGTTAGTAAGGTCAAGATTCCACTGGGTTTGTTTAATGTCGATCCCGGATGTGCGAAGGGGACAAAGTGGAGGATGAATTTTTTCAGGACTGTTACAAATGCGAAGATCTTTCCTGATCAGGAGCTTGGGGGCTGGAGCTCACCCGACAAAGCGAGCTTTCATATCACCAAGTTCTTTGGGCATGTTGATTTTGTTTGAAGCTGTATGGGACTTTGGGCTAACAACAAGATTGATCACATAATGAAATCCAATTCCTATTTGACCTCGGGCTTGTTCAACGTTGAATCTGTGAAGTCTAGAAAACAACAAGGCTACATAATCGAACTGACGATCAATCTATCCGATAATTTGACTTTGGCACGTCTCACCAAGCTTTTGATACACCAGGTCAGACACGTAGTAAGCACAGTAAGATATGGTATCATGATCAGTTGATTCGTCATTATGATAGTACGTCAGTTCATTCATTACTGAGATGTCCCTAGCTAGGTAATCTGTCTTGGAATCATAGCTCCATAGCAATAGCATTTCACAATTTCTCCATCTCCCCCTTCATATCCATTAAATCATGCTCCCAACACTTAAACACTACCTCGCTCAGGCTGCTTTTCGGGATGACCAGAAGGCAAAACATCGGCCAAAGTCTCATCGGTACCCTTGAGATCGTCCTCAGTGCTCACGTGGTCGCGAATCTTAAGGAGGATGACAGGAGCAGCAACGACGAGTGAAATGGAGAGAAGAGTCCAGTTGCTGATGAACTCAGATCGGTAGGAGATCTTGCGTGCATCAAGGTTGTTGACGACAGCGGCACCGACGGACTGAATACCTTTGTAGAAGCCGACATAGTTAGCAGATCGTCGACCAGAGTTGGACAAGGCGCCCATAAACCTAAAGAAGTTAGCAAGGTAAAACTCAAGGCTACAACTGAGGAGACTCACCAGTAGACAGTAGCCTGCCAAGCAGCATCGTAGAAACCGTAGAAAATGTATAGGAACATGGGTCCAGCGTATCCAGAGTCGGTCCAGTCGCCTGGCACGAATCCTGAATCGGGAGAAACAGTCTCACGAGTGTAGGTCTTCTCGAAGGCGTAACCCCCGCCCCAGATGGCAAAGGTCAAGACAAACAGAGCAGCCCAAGCAGCCTTGGCACGGGTGGTACGGCGGAACCGCTCTAAATCGAGAAGCCAGCCCCAGAGGGCGGCAGCGAGAATTTGAGCTAGCCAGTAAAGCAGACCATTGAGCGCCTTGGTTCTGGTGTTGAAATAGGCACCATTGACAGAGTTTTGTTGGTATACGTAGAACCAATTGGACGAGAAGAACATGGGGAAGAGCAGAATTACAAAAGGCTCAAAACGAAGTGTCTCCCAGAGGCCCCAAAGCTCGCTCTGCCATGTTGGGTTCTTCATGAGGATGACGCGGGAGCCATCTTTGCGGATGATATCGCTAGCGTTGCAAAGCGTGAGAGCAAGGATGGCACCGAAGAACATGAGGACAATGAAACCGATGTAAGTTCCGTCGCTGACGGTCTTGTTCTCCTTGATGTTGATGTTTTCGCCAAGGGGAATCTGCGAGTCGAATGAGTACTTGCATTGAGTATGGGACCAAGACACTTACCAAGCTACCAATAACAGCGCCCATGTTGAAAATGCCCCAGAACCAAGCAAAATACTTTCCCTTCTTGTTCTCGTGGGGATACGAGATCATGATGGTACCTTGCGCGGTCCACAGCAGAGCAGCACAAAGACCAAGCCAAACACCGGCAAAGATGTTGAAGCCAGGAACATGCTTGTGAACCGAGACGAGAAGGCTGATGGCGTAGATACCGTAACCGACACCACCGAAAGCGAGACATAGTTTAACGCCGAGTTTGTTGACAAAAGTACCGCCGAAGAAGCCAAAGACTGCAAAGGTGGCGTAGAGAGCCGTGTTCTACCCCAGTCAGCGCGCGTCACTTGGGGGAATGCAAAGAAATGCTCACCATGTTGTCAGCCAACGTGGGATCAGTTTTACCACCGCCACCGAGACCTCCGAGGGCATTGAACATGCCAGGACACATGAAGCAGACAAAGGCGACCATGCCAAGCTGAATGCGCGGCGAGGCATACCAGGGGAGAGTCTTTCCAAAGAGGCTGAATCGTCGATATTTCCATCCACGGGGGAGATCAACGTCGGTGTGATCATGGTAGTCAGCCTCAGTTGAGATGCCGCCCTTTGAGGTAGCGGTTGGTTGTTCGTCGGCCATGATTGAGGCGATTGATGGTGAAGCTCAATTGGAGTTAGCCGTTGAACCGTTGTAAGAGAGGAAGTAGGTGGATGCTTTGGCTGATTTATTAAACCCGTTGAAAAGGCGGGGGTGGAGATGGTGATAATAAAGAAAGCAAGAGACCGTGGCCGTGGCGTGGCAGTGGAGCCTGCGATAATGGGTACGAACTGGAAGGAGTGGCACGCGACCGTAAGATTCGGCGATTGTACCAAAATAAACACCCAGACGCTCTCACTCACTGGTCCACGGCCGGGCAGATTATTGAGGGGGGAGGAGAAGAGATGAGACGAAGGACGGACGCATCAGTGCGACGTTACACCCTGCGGCCTGCCCTACCAACCCCTACAGTACCAGTAAATGCACGATGCTGGGGGCCATGCCCGTTACTTATCGCGGGGTCGAGATAGCCGTGCACTGATAGGCGATAGGGCCAGCCACCTGACAGGCTCTAGGCATGATCTTCGACCCTGTTCAAAAGAGGGTGGCCACTCAATCACCTTCCGATAGGGAGATAGCCTGATAGTCTAGTGAGATTAGCTCTCTGTGGAACATGAATGCAACAACCTACGGCTGCAATCCGGCCATTTATCACCAATTGCTGCAGTTTCGATAACGGCTGCTACTCCAAGTGCTACGTTGAAGCTATTCGCACCCGACCCTTTTTTGCTTGCTTGGCTTGAAGTGTAACCAACCTCAACCCTCTCTAATCTCTCTTGTTTCCGCAACCGGACGCTTTCTTACCGACTTGGTTCGGCTGGTTACATCTAATTGAAACAGTTCCCCCGCACGACAAACAAACATGTCACAAGCAAACAATCATTCCTCAAGTCATTGTTTTCTCATTGTGCATCGTTACTCGACAATCTCATCTGTAATCTGTGAAAGCTGACAGCGTATCACGATGTTGCGTTGGCCTCGGAGTGCCATCGCTTCGAGACGGACGACTCAGTTGCAAGGATTACAGTGACAATCACAACCCTGGTCAGGTAATGTTTCAGCCGTCATCATGCGCAGAGGCTCGAGCTTACTCAGTCCTTTTCAGCTCAAATTACAATGTAACACACATGCCTCTTCCATGTTCAATGACAAACTACAACCAATAACTGTCATCACTTCAAGCAACAATACAAAGCTTACCAAAGAAATAGATTTACCCTGTTATAGTGAAGTATTCAAATACTAGTTGAATATTGTGATACAGTTTCTGAATTACCTAGAAACGGTAAGGAATTCACGATCACGATTGTATACATTTGATTCACTAATAATTTCATAGGCAGTAGAGTTCGTTCAAGTTCTCAAATTCTCCATTCATCCGGGATCCTAGCAAGATCTCATCAATATGTTCGCCATGCCTTCCAAAAGTGAGCCCGGCTGAATCAATATGAGTATCTCCTTGTCATTTCCTATGCCATGATCCAATACGTCACAACATAACTCCCTGTTCCCATTCCGCATCTCACAATCAAGAACTTGGCCAAGAGTCTGCCATGACAAGATTTACTCAACAGGTTACTAAATCACAGAGCTCTGACTGCTCTCACCAAACTTTTCGTGAGGGATCTCATCTATTTCCTCCATTTCTCCGGATGACGAGTCGCTATCCTCGAAAGGAATGGTAATTTCCTCATCTTCGTCAGGTTCCGCAATGACTTCGATAAACATTGGCCGAGGGATCTTGTACAGCTCGAAGTTTGGTATGAGTATCAAATCAAAAGCGCCAACATTTGCGATCTTCTCAGTCATAATCGCTGTCTTGTTGTTGATATGTTCCTGAACGACTTCAGCTGCCTCACGAAGAGGCAAAACCTCATGCGCGGTGGCTAGCGAAATAATCTTTAGCATGACATCGAGCGTCGGCCCAAGGGGATCAATTCTCAAGTCTAGGGCATCTAGTGTTGACGCGCATCGATCGCTGATGTTGTGGAACAGCGAAACGCAAAGATTATGCATTCCCATGTAGGGAAATGCGAGCTACCTCGACTCTACGGCCAGAGCTAGCGCAAATTGCCTCAGCTGTTGATCAGGAGAAAGCCGTGTGATTTGCTGCCGGTCTTTAGACTTGGGCTTTGTGAAGCGAATCTTGGCTTTCTTTCTCTCTTCCGAGTCGAGGGGGACGAGGGCATCTGTACCATTATCGGCGGTCGCCTCCTTATATAAGCTAGCAGATAGAATATAAGCCAACTCATCGTCTGATAGATTGGGGATGAGACGTTTGTGGACTATCCTGGCGAATATCATGGACATCGGAGCTACACCTTGAATTTCCAGGGTAAATGATTTGAACATTTCCCGTGGTTCCCTCCTCGAAGCAGTTCTGAAACGATCCCATGCCCACCCACGGTGCCTTGAGCATCTGAATTTGTTCCATGGCGTTGTGCAAATGAACCATAACTGTCATTACGCCAGCATCTTTGGCAAGCCTCAGTGCCATATCAGTCACATCAACTCTGGCATGAAATAAATAGAGACCAGAAAACGCTGGCAAGATCTCGAAGATCTCGAATGTACCTCTGCCTTGGTGTCTGGTTCCTTTTTCTGGCTTCGTACGTTCCCCTTGCGGGTCACAGTATACCAAGATCTTGTCAAAATGCTGGATCAATCGACAAACACTCTCATCAACATTCGGAGGACCGAGGGGCGAGCCTGGACGGGAGAGACTGGTAGCAAAAGCCTGGAGTTGGTCTCTCAAGTCCTTCGCATGCTTGTAGAACTCTGATGAGCCTCATGCTAAGTCGTCCCGCATGATATGGAACACGTCAAGATGAACTTGAAGTGCGAATGCCAGTTCGAACGACATCACATGATCCTCGCTTAATTCAAATACATAAGATGAGAATTTGTCCATGACACTACACTCTGTGCGATACGTGGCAAATACCAGGGCCTCGTTCCAGAATCGCGCTGCCATCAACTGATCGACTGAGAGGTTCAGGGTAGCAGCGTCGCTCCCTGGCACTCCGCAGCGAATCTTGAGAATGCTCATCATCTCATGAGTGTCAAAGGTGCTTTGTGTTGGACGTGGGAACATCGTGATCAGCGGCTCAAGGATCGAGAGTACATGAGAGAACGTGGAGTTGAAGAGTTCAGACAGCTGAGAATCGACATGCTTGCCACTCCAGCACTCATCGATTTGCTGTTGCGAATAGTCCTGTTGAGCAGCTTTCATGCCGAAATACATCCTCCCGACCTGGAAACAGCCGCCGTGTTTGTTGAAGAGTCTGAATGACTGGCCCACAAGTCTCTCTACCATATGGATTCCAGTATCCGTGATCACTCCAGCAACTGAGAGATCAAACTGGCCGTCGCGATGGCCTTTCCAAACCCATGCGATCTGGTTTCGGATGATCTCGGCTTCTACCATCAGGAAGTCCCAAGTGACCAAGGCATCGTCTAAGAAATCTTGTTCTTCTGCCTGGTATGTGGCGTTGTCTTCCGGCATCTGTTGGGGGCGCTCGATGTCGAGAGCGTTCAAGAACTCACGGGATGGCTCTTGCAGTGAGAGCAAATTGAACCCTTCGATAACGTTTCTTGGCTCAGCTGATTCGGCTGACTTTTGCTTGCCGACTTCTTTCATGTTGGGCCGCAAGGTTTCTCGGACTGTTTCCATGACACGGATGAAGTGAAGATGGTTTTGGTTGGCATTTTCATCAACCTCAATTCCGTGCTTTACCATTTGAGCTCTAAACGAAGATCTCCGGTCGATGACCCGGCCAATTGTATTAAAGACCGTCACTGACACCGGGATAGTTGGCTTCCGATGCGCGGCGATGAATTTGGCCATAGGGACATAGTCCTCCAAGGCGACAATATACTTTTGATCGGTCTTATCCTTGGGTTCAGTAGCCTGGCTCTTTGCCTCCTTACGAGCCTTTTCCTTGAGGCGGCCGGAAGGTTTGTTCTGAGCCTCCTTATCGTTGGGCTCGGCTGTCTGTGATTTGTAGCCATAGTGATTTGCCTTTGACGCAAGCCAACCGGCGACGGAGTCTGTGTCCTTCTTATACAGTTGCAAGACGCTGACTAGGTTGTATGGGAGCATTGAAGGTGCCATTCTGAGGGATATGGTCGTAAGATGTACGAGTAGTGTCGTCGAGGGTGAATTGCTAAGGGGGATGGGCCGCTTGAAGAAAGGCAGAGGTTAATGATAACTTGTCGAGTCCTGGTGACTGATGAGGTTTAAAGTCTAACAGAAAAAGTAGATAGAAGAATAAGACGGGAAACATTATATACCAACTGGGTTCGGTGCCAGTGGAGGTTTGTTCATCGATGCGAACCAGCTGTTCCAGTGTCAGGGCCATGATTCCACTGGAAGAAGCAATCCCTAGCTTCACAGTGGCTTTTCAGGTGCTTGGAACATCTTTTGTCCATTCTATAGCCTGGCCTCAGTCATAGGGTGCTAAGACGAAAGAGTCACTGCGTCAACTTAGATGAGAACAAAGGACTATTCCTCAATTGCACTCTATGCACAAGGCATCGTCTATCTAACTACTTACAGAACTCAGCCGCTATATTGGTCAATCCCTCAGCCACTTGTTCAATTGACTTGACGTGAACGAACTCCTCCTTTCCATGAAGTCCCTCTCCCTTTGGTCCCCAGAGCAGAGGCACTATCCCTTTCTCAGCCAACAAGGCGCAATCAGTCCAGAACAGGGCACCGCCAATGACCGCATCTTTGCCAGTAACACTGCCTACAATGCCGGAGACGAGCTTGGTGAAAGGGTGGTCTGCCGCTATGAACTGGGGCGGGCGGCTGAAGAAGATCTTGGCTTCTGCCTTGAAGTCGGTGACCTCCTTTGCTACCTTGGCAATAATGTCGTCGAACTCCTTCTGGACAGCTTCATTGGTCTCTCCAGGAATTGTTCGGCGCTCTGCGATGATGGTACACTGTGCAGGGTACGACGATGCCTCTTCGCCGCCGGAAATCAGTGAAGCGTGTGCAGTTCCTGTTCCGAGGGTTTCATGGCCTGGGCCTTCTTGCAATTTCTTCGCATATCTACCGAACTCCACGAGGAAATGGCCGGCATTGACAATCGCGTCGATGCCTAGATCAGCCCGTGAACCATGTGCAGCCAGTCCACGGATCTTGATCTCAATGTGACAGTATCCCTTGTGCGTGTGACTGATCTCGAGGTTCGTTGGCTCCGATACAACAGCGGCATCTGCTCTCCATCCAGCGCGAAGGATGTCTTCTGTTCCCTTACTCAAGCTCTCCTCATCGGCAACACCAGTGAAGATCACATCACCACGAAGGCCAAGCTTCTTGGCATTGGCAAGCGCGATCATGCCTGCTGCGACGCCTCCCTTCATGTCAGCGGATCCCCGACCATAAAGGCACCCATCTACAATCTTGCCGCTTAACGGATCATCGTCGTAGCCCATGATAGTCACCGTGTCGATGTGCCCATTGAACATGATACTCTTACCGCCGCCAGAGCCACGAACAACGCCAACGACAGAGGGCCGACCCTTTTCGAATTCCACCCAATGAGTCTCAAGGTCCCTATGTTCGAGCCATGCAGCGACATAGCGAGCGATGATGGTCTCGCCAGGTCCGGGAACAGAACCCAAGTCGGGACTGGCTGAGTTGATCTGAACAAGGGTCTGAGTAAGTGCAACTGGGTCATTGCCAGAAACGTCGTGGGGTATATCATAGTCTCGGTTTCGCTCTGTGCAAAAGATGACTACGGTGGACTTCTCATTGAGTCCAAGGGCCTTCTTGTCGTCCAGTGTAAGCCGTTTCAACGCAGCAAGAGTCGATCCTCCACAGGGCCCAGCGTTGATGCCTTGAGATTGCAGATACAGGGCGGACTGGTGAGCCTCATAGTCTGATACGGTCAAGCTTGCATTAACGCCGTTCTTCAACAAGTCCCATGCGATTGTAGAAGGGGCTCCGCAATTGAGACCAGCCATGATGGTGCCGGTCGTTGGGATCTCAGTGAATTCGCCCTTCTCCAGACTCTTCCACAAACACGCCGCAGTGTCAGGCTCAACTGCCAACGTGGAGGTGACTGTACCCTGTCTCTTGAAATGAGAGACGACAGCTTGGGCAAATGATCCGACTCCGACAGGAGCGATGACCAAGTCAGCTTTGGTAGAACCGAGCTGCTTGTCAACCTCTCGCATCATGGTACCATAGCCATCGACAATCCACTGCCACACGTTAGAATTTGAGGTGGTCATTGGTCGGGAAATATTGCTTGCCTGTGGAACAGTTTGGTAGTCACCGAATGCATGATCCTGAACCAGGATCCCCTGCTCATGCTTGGACGCAGACTCGGCCTCAAGCGTCGCATCTTCATATTTACCCTTTGATACAACAACCTTTGCACCTTCAGACTCAATCAATTTGACCGTAGAATGATGCATAGACGCCGGGACATGAATCTCAGCTGAGATATCGAAGATCGCACCCATCCGCGCCACTGCACGTCCATGATTCCCTTCTGTGGCTGCGTACAAGGTCAATTGATGAGCCTTTGCCGCTTCTCGGACAGTATCAATTTCTGAGTCAAGAGGTAACCCAAGCTTCTCGGCTATGGAGCGGAATGCGCCCCAAGAAGCACCCAAGATCTTGAACGCTGGAAGACCGAAGCGGTTCGTCTCATCTTTGACATGGATAGCTCCGACCCCGATCTCCTTAGCCAGGCTGTCCAGACTGACAAGAGGAGTTGGCTCATAGTTGGGGAGACTCTGGTGAAACCGATCAATGGCTTCTGTAGAGGCGGGCTCAGGTGAAGTCCATGATTTGGCTTTGAAGTTGAAGTGGACGTGTCGACGAGTGGTCATGATGTTGTTTGTGTTGGGATTCTCCAACTGCGATGAAGAAGGATTGATGCGGAGAATTGAGCGGGGAATCCAAGAACAAGACTCGATGAGAAGATGAACGAAGGGGAGATGATAGAGTGTTGAGATATTCGGAAAGGTCTTGAGAAGAAGAATTTTCGCAACAATTTTATACACATTTTGCAAGAGAATGCGCCCAAGTTAACATCGGTGATGCGCCTTCTGGCGACAGGACAGCCCCCACACAATGAGCAGGTTCATTCATATACGCCATTCAAACTCGCGCTGTCGTCGCCATGAGATTGTTGATGTCTCTCGCAGGACTTGAGTCTCAAGACATCTACACTTTTGTTATTAATAGTCCTCTGATGGTTTACTGGGTGTGGTTCTGTGATGAAGTTGAGTTATCGCATGCTTGGCCGCTGTTCTGATGTAAGGTAGGCTAGCTTAGGTTGGCTCGTAAGATTAAGCAGAAACGGGCGATTCTATACGGAGTCCGGTCGCATTTAATCACCCTGTGTAGATGACTTCCTGTGTCGTTCCGCATTTCGGTTCTACAGAAAGATCAATTGTATTAGCCACATTATACACCGGGCGGAGTTTTTTGAACATGCTTTTATTGAGTCTGGAACAATGAGGTCTGGTTATTGCGGCTGTAAGGGATGGCCAGCCTGGCTTTCATTGTAGTAGCACGTTTTAAGTTCCAGAACCACCGACAGCCACCCCACCCCGTCACCAGCAACTGCATTGCGAGGCAGTTAATGCATTTGATCACAGTAAAGAGCAAAAAAGCTTTGAACAATTTATCCAAGACCATTGTATGACTTTCATTTGGAAGCCATCAAAGTCGGTACCGAGTAAAGACAGGTTCAGCGGGGTCAAGGAGTGCAGCGCCTTCTAAGTACCAACCTGTTTTTCCTTCCACAACACCTACTTTCAACTTGACAATGCTGGGCGTGCAAATTGGCACGATAACAACCGATCTCTTCCTTCTTGGGGGATAAACAACAAATGATGACCTGCAATAAAACACCAGAGAAGGTCGTTAAGGATGCCCAAAACAGGCGGTGCGCGCTGTCACTTGCATCGCGGCTGTGACTAAGCCCGACATCGCTACAAACGAAGGCTACGCGTGACGTTATCGCAGCTTCTCCCAAAACTCCACTCCAACATAACATCTTCTTCACATGCCTCTTCATCAACCTTTTGAAGTCGCTGAGAGGCCACTGCCCTCATCACAGTGTCATAATGGACTTTTCACTGGATGATATTCTCTTCACCGGCGGCCAAGATGCTGCGTTGACTCTTCCTTACGACGAAATTGATGACCCAGCCCCTCAATCGCGGAGTCCGTCAAATCCACTTGCTGAAGGAGCGAATATCGACACCATGCTACAGACCATCAACCCTCAAGAGGCGTTCAGCATTCAAAACACCGAGATCCCGGATTTTCAGATTGATTGGAATGCCGATTTTCAGCAGGCTAAAGCGGCGTCCGAGGCTCCCGCAGACGATCTCAATCAGGACTTTTCTTTTCTCAATCAACCGGCCACAGATTGGGGCATTCCAGCGCCGTTGCCAGCTTCCAATGATCCTGTCAAAATGCCCATGACCACAATTGAGGAATTCTTTGTCAAGAATGGAGCATCATACCCCCCTGTGCCATGCACCAACTGTCGTCGAACCCGTTTGCAGTGTCTGATCTTGCAAACTACCGTAGCGAACCCGAACCCTACCAAGAGCTGTTCGAGCTGTGTCGCCTTGTTCCGCGAATGCAGTCTGGCAGGGCAGAAGAAGAGGAAACCCTCGGAATTCGAGACGTCAGAGCCTGTCATCGGTCGCCTCCACGGGGTTAGCGAGCACAGCATCCCAGGAGTACCTGCGACAGTTGATGAAGGCCAATCATCGCAGGGCCTTACAATGGCAGCACTGTCGGGCAAAAGAGCGAATACTCGATCAGTGCGAAAGACGAGGGTGCTGCGAAATTGGTACCTTTCCAATCTGGACCATCCCTACCCATCAGAGGAAGAGAAAGCTAGTCTTTCTCAGCAGTCAGGATTGAGCAAGAGTCAAGTAGTCAATTGGTTTGCCAACACTAGACGACGCCATCGACTCTCCTCAACTTACTCTGCATCGCCTGGCCGGGGTCGTCAAGGATTTGCACCAGGATCCCCTATGCCGCATTACCTCCGCAAAAACATGTCACCCTTAGATCGCTGGAAAAATTCTCCGCCCGATGAGGAGCCAGCTTCAGCGACGGCGATTCAAAATGCCCTGGCTGCTCAGTCAAGTGGACATAGTTCGCTGGATAGCGACGTGGCGGCATCTGATGGACCAGGGTCATCTGCAAGCAATGACTCTCTCTGGCTTTCTAATCTTCAAGAGGCCTCGTCCAACTCAGCATCTTCTTGTTACTCGTATCGCTCAAGGGATGCGGCATTCTTCTCGCGCTCTGGTAGTAGTTCAGTGGTAGAAGGACCCTCCATATCTAGGACTGCATCCTCGAGGTCACGAACAAAGAAGCTCGTCGCGTTCCAATGTACATTTTGCGGACAAAGCTTCAAGAAAAAGTACGACTGGGTTCGTCATGAACGGTCAATTCATCTCCCAGGTCTCGACTCATGGATTTGCGCATTGCCTGTCACGCCAGATCAATCATTCTTAGTCTGGCGCATGAGTAAAGGTGGCCCGCAATGCCTTTTCTGCGGCGAGAACTCACCCAGCGACGAGCACATTCAAGCTCACGAATTCGACACCTGTGCCGAACGCCCTGTTTCAGAGCGCAAGTTTACACGCAAAGACCACCTCTGGCAGCACCTTCACAAGTTTCATGGCTGTCGCAAGTGGGATGGCTGGAAACCGGATCTGAGTCTGCTACAACACCGACAAGATATGATAAGAAGCAAATGCGGTTTCTGTCAAGTCATGATGGACAGCTGGGGAGAACGAATAGATCACATCGCTGCTCACTTCCGGTCCGGGTTGACGATGGAGCAATGGGTTGGAGGATCCGGGATCCACGACCCCGGCGATATGGGTACCGAAGGCCGGTAGATGAGCCGCTCTTGGAGGTGGATACAGACACGACACGGGAGATGTCACTGACCCGGCATCGGTACGGAAGAATGGAGACAATCGGGGGAACCGATGCAGCCCTGTTTCGACACGTGGGAACCTTGTCCTAGTGACTCCACTGCCGGCTAACGACGGTTAAGTCCAGAAGGCACGTAGAAGCATTGTTCAATTAATTCAGCATTCGAAACCGTTAAGCGAAATGCGAAAGCCTCAAGACCAACTTTCACCACCAAAAGTTCACCTCAGGTTCAAAAGACCAATGCTCAGTGACTCGAGTCCCTCGTACTCCAGCACCCCTGCGCCGTTGTGGGGAATCATGAAGTTGTGGCAAATGTCAAACTCTCTTTGACAAGTGACAAGTGACAACAGACACGCGCGCAAGAACAGTGGACATGTGAAATCCGGAGTTCGGATGGCAGCGTCTCATTTGACAGCCCCTGGTCCGACTCTCCATGACTTGTCAGAGTCTCGACCATCCCTTGCTCACGCGAGCCGAGACCGTTGATTCCTGCTTATTTACGGCGGCCTTACCTTTTTGGATAAATTGGGCAACAAGCCGAATGTCACGTACGTATGCGGGGATTCTTCTCTGTTGTTCTTTTCTGTCGGTACTCCTTTTTAACTTGTTTCTTCTTTTTTTCTTCTCTCACATTTCATTCCCTTCTTTTATTTTTTTGTGTAACTTTGTTGTGTCTTGCTTCACGTGTCCGTCGCCAGCCCAAGCTTACATCTTCAGCTTCTTCATTCGCACAACCGCATTACTCTCTACAAGTCAGTAAAAACAAATCCTTCAAATCAGTCACCATGATCATCACTCGCGCCCTCTCCATCACCAACTTTGTCATTGCTGGCTCAGCACTCAGCTTCCAGGTGGGTGTCCTGTACCCATGGCACAAGCAGCTTGACGATGGATTCGAGGAGCTCAAGAAGGAGCACTTGCGCGTCCTACAAGCCGTCGAGTCGAAGGTACAGCAAACACGAGACGCCGCTGTTCTAGAAGAGAGCCGTAACAGCGTTCGCGGCTTGCTCGGCAATCTTGTCGCATGGAAGGCCTGAGCGTGGCCGACTTCGGGGGCAGCGCAGCAACAACAAGACACAACAAAATACCCAGCACGAGGCAGATAAAAGCCACACATGCACAGAAGAAGAAAGACCACTAGCGGCGTCTTTTTGAATTCGACAAGGACCAAATTTCCTACTACTCATGGCGTTTCTCCCACGTTATTTTCTCGGCGTTCAAATCCTCGGCCCGGGTGGGGCCGACAACGGTCACGATCCGGGTGGTCACGTGTATCCCTGAACCCCCTCTCCCGGATTTCAACGGTTTCACCCGATCGGGAGTTTCCTTCGGTACCATTACCTTACCTTAGACGGGCGCACGGGAATAATCAGTCAGTTACAGCACGGGAAAGACGTATATATTTGATCTGCTTAGACTATTTATAGCTCGCATTTAGTTTATGGTGTTTGCTAAATGATACTCTTTTTTTTTTGTCTAGAAGACTGCTGTCTCGTCGCCTTGAATGGATCTGTGTCGCGTCTTGCAACGCGACTGTTAGCTTGGTCTTGCAGTAACAAAAATGATGAACGACTTGACTTGTTTAGCATGATGATCACGAGATAAAAAATATGTTATTGAAGTCTCAGCGCAGGTAAGCATCCATAACACGCCACCAGAATAGCATTAACACGCTACAAGCCTTGAAATGAACCGTCCACCGCCATCTTCCACCGAAATGAGACCGACTACCACCAAGCGCCGAAACATTATACACGTCTGAACCTTGGTCTAATTGTCCACCTTGAACCACACGGGGTTATTCGCGTTATTCGTCATACGGACATCGAAGGTGCCCGAATAACCGGGCATGATACGCAGCGGCGCGGCATCGGAGACACGAACGGGGAGAGATCTGCTCCCGTTGAAG